GATGATGTTATTTCTACAGGTATATTTTTTTTATTTTCAGAAGGTAAGAGAAGTTAATTATTATTTATTAATATAGATTTTTTTGACACATGACATTTTGTGTCTATGTTCATTAGGGTAGTCCTATTAAGACGATTTCCGACGAACAATGCTAGACGCTGCTGGTTTAGAGCCGTCTTCATAACAAGATATGGTGAAGACTACGAGACTTTGGTAAGAGTAATTACCGGACAACCTATTTTATCATTAATTTAACTGTAAAATTTGATATACGTATAATATTTTGGTTGCGGTGAAATAAGATATAAATAATGACCTTGTCTAACTTATCAGGATAAATCATAATGACCGTGCTGCGTCCTGCGGAAATCTGCGCGATAGTTTTTAGTAGATATCACACACAACATTGAATTATTTACGCGAGAGTCATTTTTTATGATATGTTAATTAATTAAAAAACCATAAAAGAGGAAGTGAACATTTCTAAAAAAAATCTCTAAAGACTTAAACGACTTAAAGTAGAGGAACTTCATGTAACAACTATGGAAGAAAAAGAGATGTGCTCAGTTCAGAAATATAACGTTTTTTAACAAAATTCATCTAAATACAAAAGGCAGGTGAAAGTGAGTGTGAGAACATAATTATGATTTATTATTTTTTTATTATATGAAAAAGAAATTAATTTATTAATTATGATTTTAAATGAATATGAATAGTCAGCTGCACGTCAGCTTACCACAATGTGTCAAGTTTAAGTAATTCCTTGGTCCGCTGAATTTATCGAAGATGTGTTTCATATTTCATTAAGAATTATCGCTTAACGAGCTTAAAAGTACATAAAAACTGATTGAGAACTGGTCAACTAGGCAGATTCATGTTATAAAAACTAGTATTCTGACTTTTAAAAAATAAAAATATACTATATTATTTGGAGTTACCACTATTTTTTGGCGACAAATTACTTGGCGGAACATTCATATTTTTATGCTTAAAGTTGACAGCTCCACCAATTGGACGAAAACAGGCTTGTCTAGCGTACTTTCGTTATTAAAATGTACGTGCGTATATTTAAAAAATAAACTCTTAAGCAGTTAACAATAAGCTGAAAACATTGAAACTGTGGGCTATATATATAGGGTATAGCATTCACTTAAACTTCGAGAGAAAACCGAAACAACGACGGCACCACAACATCTAGAGTCGACACAATATAGAAAAGTTAATTTTTATATTCATCCAATCGAGAATTGAACCTTGGAGATGATGAAATCTAAAAAACGGCGGCGTCTGGGTCACGGAAGTAGGTATTCATATTTGATTAACAATAAGCTAAACTTCGTATTAAAATGAGAATTGTAACAACAAAGTAAATTTATTCATTCGTAAGGAAGAATAAATGAGGGTTTTATAATAAAGGAACTTGAGCACTTAAGACGAAAATTATCGAGTAAATATCGAATTTGCATCATTAAGTATTTAACTAGAAATGTACACACAGCTGCAAGTAAGTTTATCACACTATGTCAAATTTCTCCAATTGATTAAACTGAGCCCTCAAAGCATTCGGGTTTAAAATCAACAAGAGAATTATGACAGATTTAATATAACCTGACATGCTGTTGACTGTACAAGTTCTGAGAAAAACAGCATAAATTTTATACTCAGGTTTACCCCATTTCTACTTCTTGAATGTGATAACAAAAAGTCCATTGAAACATTGCCCTGTTTCAAAATAACGTCACAGGTAAAATAACCCAAGGTTAATTTCGAGGAATTCCTGTCTTGATACCTTTCTAATCAATTTATTTCAGTTTATTATGAATTTTTTGTTGCTTATTACTATCAGATAGCTACGTCAGTTCGCTATAAAAGGATTAAATGTCTGAGGTTAACAATTAATACACAATAATAGTTCATAATTTGTCGTTTAGTCGTCAGTCTGCATCAGTGCGCGACTGTGTTACATTTGTTTATTATCAGTTCGTTGCGAATGTAGCAAAAGTTAAAAAAAACTACGCATTGAAGATCTTTAATTAAATACTCAGTTTGTCTAAAAAGTTTAAATATAACTTATTTAATCAAAAATATTTATTTAAAAGTTAAAAAGAGAATATGTTTCGTCTAAGTGTGTTTTGTTTTTATATTTTGTCTAAAGTGTTTGTTAGTGCTCATAAATTCATAGTGACAACAGATGAACGTAAGCATAAATTAAATATTTACTAGTTAACAGAACTACCCACACATAGATATTATTAATACTCACATGTTTTCCAAAGTCTTTCGTTTCTTTAAAGCGTAATCTCACGTAAATAAAAATTCAATGTTTTTCACACACATTTCAGATTTATTTCATACCGTAAGGATTTTTTTTATATCTCGGTCAAGAAAAGAATAGTTTTTGTAACGTAAAATTAATTCAATAAGAGTAAATATGCCATAGAATATTATGATTTGAAGATAAAGTTTAATGAAACTGAAGTTATTATAATTCAGTTGGACGCATTTCAAAAAAATCTTATTATTGTCTTGTAATTAAATGTGGTCATTAGGTTAATCGTTTGCGCTCAATCAGGTAACAGCATACCCTTAGCGCATACCAACCGTTTTGAATAATAATTTAACACAATTTTCTCTATGATAACACAGAGGAAATCTATCATACAGTTTATGGATTTATGATTTTGAAAAAGGAACGCGTCGTTGCAGTTATTCTAACTTAGATAAATACTGTTCATTTCAATGAACAGTCTTACTATGGAGTGGTGACTTCCTTGCGCGAGGTCATGGAATGTTGATCCGTCGTCATGGTGATGATTATGTTTATTTCATTGAAGTTGTGCATTTACGTAGTCATAGTTATATTGTGTCACGCATACGAGGTATTTTTGGAGGGGGTATTGATCTGGTACCGTTATTTTTTATAGCAGTTGCGGAAGTAATATTATGGAGAGGCAGAGAATGCTACAAGGCTCTAAGACTGCATTTTGCTGTAAAGAATAAATAAATAATATATATATTATGGAAATTGTTTTTTTTTCGTTGGAAGGTTTACTAAATAATATTGGGAATGATAATGGCAAAATAAGCACAGCTGTACAACAGCTGAAACTAACCAATAAATTTATTCGTAAATCCATTACGAAAAAAATTGTTAGTGTTAGCTGTGTATAATAAAAATGGTTTAATTTTTATATTTTGCATTCACTATTTCTTTCGGCTGTTTGGGTGGATTTCCTGAACTTTGATGAAAATACGTTCTGTAGTACCGAAAAAGTAATAAGTGCTTAAAAATTCGACAGGCCTATTAGTTTTTTCGGTAGCATAGTGGTTAGAGCAGTCGCCCGGATTGCGAAAGGTTATGGGTTCGAGTCCCATCTCAGAGTGTCAGGGACAAAGTGAGTTTTTAAGCATTTTTCATTGTTTAATAAGTTTAGGAATAAGTTCCTATGAAGATAAACTATTATGTTTTCAACTACTGAAATACATTAAAAAAAAATTAAGTAACATGACTTTGAAGAATCTTATAAAATGATAATAAAACTTTTATTTTTAGTTTCGAGTTAATTAATTAAAATAGAATAAATTACTAGTTTTCAGATATTTTATGCATATGTTTTTTTGTCCTTTTCAAATATCACTAACAAATTGACGGTCAGTAGTTGCAAAAACGTTCATTACGATTTAAAGACTATAAGTTCTAATGAATGTTCTGAATTTATTGATTTGTCACCCTGTTGCACAAATGTCCATTAGGGATTAATGACTGTTTTAAGCTGTAATGAGTGTTCTGAATTTTAAAATTAGGAATGGTAATAAGGCTTTGTACTAATGACAATTTATGGACGTTTCAGCAACTGAACGTGTATCTGTAATGTCGCTTTAAAACAATGACAGTTTTAATGGATGTTTGTGTAACAGAATATGAAACTATTATAATTTCCTAATTTCCATGGAAAGTGACTTCATATTTAATTAAGTCATTTTTCAATCTTGACGCTCTGTATGAAATAAAACAGGGAGAAAAAAGCAGCCCTTGTCGAGTTTCTTGCCGATTCATCTCGGTACAAGGTCTCCCGCCGTAGATTTACGAACCGATGGCGTAGCTCTCGACATTCACAAGTGCTTGTAACATCCTAGATTGAATAAATAATTTTGATTCGATTCCTGTTCTTTACATGTAAAGTGGACAACTATATTAGTTATGAAGACCTCAATGAATTCATGGCGATGTACAATAAAACCAGAGGGGAGACATCTGTGGGTAACGGTTATCTTGACGAGGTAACGACATTTAAGTACTTATTACTAGTTATTTTCCCGTGACTTCACCCGCGTATGTTATAGCCTATATTAAGGCTTTGTTCTAGGCTGAGTAATTATTATATGTATGCGTACCATGAATGCTATGTTTTACAAAAGTGTTACTTCTGATAAAGCTTGTCAGCCAAAAGACGTCCTGAACGAGTAGTAAGGAGACAATTTTTTGGACGGTACAAAAAGGTTGTTATATAAAAAAATTAATAATAAAAAAACCTTTTTTATATTAGTAGTAAGATTATGAATAGTAACCGCTTTTTAAGCTGGCGGTGAGTCAATAATAAAGTTAAAATTTTGTTTATTCAAATTTAAAACATTAATAAGTACAACTCTCTTCATGGTTAATTTTTCGAAAAGCATTTGCATCAGAAAAGTACTCTTAATAAGGCTTATTGATTCGTGAACGCTTTATTGTATTGTTTTTATAGAAGCTTTTTAAATTATTATTAGGTATTGTAATAATTTTGATTTATCTCGGTTTTCGAAACGCCTTTATTTGTGTAATTAGTATTATTTATATTTTATTTGAATTAAGTCCAATTAATTCATAAAAACAAAAGAAGAAAAATAATAAATAATAGAACGTACGTATAACTATGTCCATTCAGTTATAAAGATTTTTTAATAATAGATGTCAAATAATTTAGGTCTTCGAAACAAAAACTATAAGTGGTGCTAATAAAATGCTTTATGTACAGATTAAAACTTCTGCTCCCGACATCGTGGAGTGTTTTGGCTTAGGATCACTTTCAGCGCAAATACAATCAATGTTGAATATGAAGCCGGATTCCTCGGATCAAATAAACACACATTTTTATTTTTCTTCTCGAGGACAATCATTCAGAGTGCAGGTTGGTACAGTTCAGTTTTTATTGTATTTTTTTTGAACTTCGCTTACGAAAAATATGTAGATCTTTTTAGATTATAACTTTGTAAATCTTTTTAGAATAAAACACACAACCACGAGTTATTACGATATGCCGAACACAGTGTGACACTAGCAGTGCTACTTATAAACAAGGATCAGCGTCAGAGTAAATTTATGCTAAAATTGCAATTTTAGTATTAGTCCATATTCATATTACACAGAGAATAAGCAAATCTACTACCTTCTAGGAGCAAATATTACTCCCATAGAACCTCGTACTAGGTTAACCTTTGTTAAGTCTCTGTTTAATAATATGAATTTTGACTAATACGAAGAGCAGTCTCAGGGTAAATTTACTCCAACGCTATTGTTTATAAGTAGCACTGTAGGACTTGTTCTCTATCGTATATCGGAACTGTAGTCTTTACCGGAACTTTGTCTACATTTGAAAAGACATTAGGACTGGAATATTCTTCGAGTTTGTCATATTCAAACTGATATTCTATCATTAATGACTTGAGCAAGGCGTGGGCAAAAACTTTCTCTACTCGAGTATCTCATTCTACTCGTACGTGTATAGGACACACCTATACACTCTCACGACCGTCCGATGCTCATAGGGCTACTTTAGTATTTTCAATGAACAGTAATCTTATTCCATTGGACGATGTGCTTCTTGGTAGACAGTAAACTTTACGCTCCGTTCATTAACAAAGATGCCAAGTGTTACTTGAAGATTAAAACTTGTGTTAAAACTTGTTTAAACTTGTGTTAGCTTAACAGTGTTACAATGCGCGAGGGATTTTTTTGTTAAACTAAGTAACACTCAGATTCTTTTTAAAATACATTGTGTTCATTATTTCTTATTTTAACTAATCTAGCAGTTTTTTCAAAAGTTAATTGAACTCCATCTACAAAAATTTACAATCTTGAGATCCCCTTGGGAAAAGAGGGCATATTGTTAATGATCCGATTCCCCAGTGGCAAATTGAAAGCAAAACATAAAATAAAATCTAATCTATGGAATCTATGATTATAATAAACTTTTGCTACTTCTGAAACCACCTCACTAATTACTTATACAGTCGCGAATTACCAAGGCAATAGTTAAGGTACACTTTAAAACTGCGTAACTGAAGTATCCTGGTTTTTCTACCTATAAATAATTTTTAAAGTTATAATAATTAGAATATCAGCATTCAATTTGACAATTTTCCAGGTGTTCCCAGGTGATCAGTTCGGTTTAGAGTACACTGATTTTAAGCCAACCAGAAAGACCGTGTTGATTGTTCATGGATTTATGAGTCACAGCAACTCATCGTGGGTGCACAATATGACGAGGGCTTTCTTGAAATGGGTACCCATAATTATTTTGTTTTTAGCTGTTAAGGGTAACGATTTACTGTCGACTGTCAAGTCTGTATAACATACATATCTACAACAGTTGAAAAATATTGAATCTGTTTTTCTTTTAGAGTAGCTTTCCGCCAGCGGCTTCGCCAGAGGGGTATTCCCGTTTTTGCAACATTTTTCATTTCTGATCCACTCCTATTAGTCATATTGTGATGCATATAGCCTGCCCTAATATGGACTATTCAACACAAAGATAAATTCTTGAGACCAGTTCCTGAGATTAAGCGCGTTCAACCAACCAAACAAACAAAATATATGTATATGATATATTTTGTCATCATTATCATCATCAGCCCTTATATGTTCCCACTGCAGGGGCTCAGGCCTTCCTTATGAATGGTTAAGGAGGACGGGCATGACCCTCCACGTTGCCCCAATGCAAATTGGAGATTAAAAATGACTGCAAATGCAGCCAGGATCAACGGCTTAACGTGCCTTCCGAAGCATGAAATAATAATTTTTTGGTCACCTATCCCGTAACAGACCCTTGCGAAAGTTGCTCAATAACAACGATCACGGGCCGCGGCGCTTATCCTCTACACCACCGAGCTGCTTATGGCAATGATTTAAATGATTGTTTGCAGGCAGATGTTAATGTGATAGCGGTAGACTGGAGTGCGGGTGGTAATACCTGGAAGTACTGGCGAGCAGTAGCCAATACGCGACAAGTTGGCTCCGATATCACAAAGTATGCAGTAATTTAATCTTTAAATATACACTTCAATAAATGTTGTCTGATCAGATCAATTTGTGATCAGTACTGTGATTCTGTTAATGTTAGCGTAATTATGGAAAATCAATAGCGCTTCACAAGGGCGTACCCAGGATTTGAGCTTCAGTGCTTCAGCTACAACCTAATAAATAAATATATCTGTCACTATTGATGTGTGTGGAAGAAATGCTCTTCAGGTAACAAAATGCAAGTATGTACATAATTGAGATTCTATTAAGATGCAATTATTACCCAATAATTAGCTAATTGAGGTCCTGGGTAACGTATGTCGTGTTCCTCAAAATTCCGAAGACTATTAATTTTACTACTGTTGCGATAGAGACCTAATTTGTGAATATAATCACATAGCCTAAAGACAGAAGCGGTGATGCTGTGGGCTAAAACGATAGTATTTCAATATTCTTTGGTGTACGCATTCTTTTCTATGTGGGTCATTCAACTGCATCACAATGTGAAGGACTTCGTGCCTCATAGTCAAAATAAATGAAAGAAGTTTGTTAAATTGCGAAATTAAAATAAATGCCCGCAATTTAATATGTCCTAACACACGTCCTAACATTACCAGCCCTTTTACGTCTCCACTGCAGGGGCTCAGGCCATCCTTATGGATGGTTAAGGAGGTTGGGCCATGACCCTCCACGCTGGCCCAATGCGGATTGGAGGGTATTAACGACTGCAAATGCAGCCGGGACCAACGGCTTAACGTGCCTTCTGAAGCACGGAGTAGCTCGAGATAATAATTTTTTGGTCACCCATCCCGTGACCGACCCTTGCGAAAATTGCTTAACGACTACGATCGCGGACCGCGGCGCTTATCCACTACGCCACCAAGCTACTCTAATCTATCCTTATAAATTTATATTTTCTTACAGTTTTCTGCTTCAGTTAAAGTCAGCTACAGGGGCAAATTTTAAAGATTTCCACTTCATTGGACACAGTCTTGGCGCTCATATTTGTTCGTACGCATCACAACATTTGGGCGGTGTTGCTAGAATTACTGGTGAGATTTGAAATCTAAAAGAGATACTAAAATCTGTTAAATCGGCCCAGCTCGAATTTTAGTAAGACAAACGCACAACAACGAAATGAATGGGTTTAAAATTGCGTATTAGGTGTCAAGGGCACTGAGTATTAGGAATATTCCATACATTCCATCACATAAAGTTATTAGAAATCTTTATAAAAACTCTTCTTAATAATGGCATTGGTATTGAATTTTCTTACATAAAGTGTTGAGAATAAATAAGTATATTTTTGGATCAGGCTTAGATCCAGCACAGCCCTGCTTCAGCTCGGCTGACAAAGACGAAAGACTTGATCAGACTCACGCCGATTTCGTTGATGTCATTCACACTAACGGGAGGCTCCTCGAGAAAGTCGGATTTGGTTTACCAGAACCTACAGGTATGTAGAATTTGCCAGTGATATTATATTTATGAAGTCATCATCATTACCAAATTATCAGTGTCCTACTCCTGAGGCACAGGTCTTCCCTACAAATGTAATCGAATCGAAAATGGGCAAATGAACCACACCCTGGCCCATTGCGGATTGTTGGTTGTTAACGACTGCTGATGCAGCCGAAACCAATGGCTTAACGAGTCTTCCGAAGCACGGAGAAACTCGAGATAATACATTTTTGGTCACCCATCTTATTGCAGACCGAGCGTGCTAACCATTGCGCCCTCAAGAAAATTTATATTTTGACTAAAAATTAAAGATAAAAATTATACGAAATAATATTGATTGGAAAAATATAGCTACAAATTTGTATCTCAGGTCATGCAGATTTCTATCCCAATGGAGGAATGAAGCAGCCAGGCTGTCACAATAAAACAAAATCATTATGGTCGAGCCTCATACCTTTTGCTGACAGTAAGTTTTTTTTATGAATTAGATGTCAATTAAAAAACCTTTCAATAGAATTAGAACTATCTAAAATAAAGATAAGATTATTTTATTGATTGACTAAAATACGAATCGAAACTGAGAGATGCAGCACTTGATTCGGATAGCTAGCTACTTACTAATCAGCCAATAACAGAAGTGGTGATCTATTAGGGATGCCGACAGACTGATTTTTATTATGCCGATGCTATCAAGTCAAAAAATAAAATCAAAATTGGAAGAATTAATATAAATAATCAAATTTAATACATTTCTTTTTGAATTGTCTTTTTGTATATGAATTTTATTCGTATTAAAATTAAGAGACCCATTCCTTTTTTGAACGATGCTTATCTATAATATTCTTTTCAGAATTACAGCGAGCTATATGTGATCATGGACGTGCCTATGTCTTATTCACAGAGTCTTTGTATAATAACAATTGTACATTTCGAGCTTATCGATGGAACTTAACATATGAAGGGTAAGATTTATTTCTCAGAATAATCGCTTAACCAATAGAAAAAATACATTTCAAAAAACTTGACTAAATATATACTAAATAAAATTCTTGGAATACAAATATATAGTATGCTAATTTGATATCTATTTATCTACAATGTAGGGTCAATTCAAGTTTAGTTGCGGCATGCGATAGACGTGGATCTTGTGCTGAGATGGGCATCAATGCAGAAGGAGGAAACGGTGTCTTGCGGGCATCTGGCCAATACTTCGTCCTTACTACAGAACAACCGCCATATTGCCGTAAGTACTAATATTATAAATGCGAAAGTTTGTGAGAATTGATGAAGTTTTTTATTCTTTGGCGCAAAATTATTGAAAGGATTTTCTAGAGACGTCTAGAAAACAAAATTATATCAATTTAATTCCTTGAATCACTGACTGAAGTAGAAACGACACTATAATATATAGCAGCAATTAAATAGGTATCTTCATAATTGCCAATTGTGATTGTGGTACTTCGGCTCTAACATAGCATTCAAAGGAGGTTGTAAGCAAAAAATCAAATCACGATACGCTACCACACGATCTGCAGTTGAAAAGCTCAACAAGGTATAGAAAGACAAGAATAAGCAGAAACACTAAAGTTTGATTGATGTAATCTCTCGTCGTTTCAATATTTTTCTATTGAACTAAAACCTGGTTCTGGTCATGGAAAGATTGACAGTACAGGGCTGCATTGATGTCAAGAGATCAAGAGGCCGAACGTCTACACGATGGACAGATGGACAGATTTACCGTGACTGAGCGTTCTCGCAGCGCAGCGAACTGAGAGAAATGGGGCGGTATGCCAGAGAAGAAGTTCGGGTCACGATCACCAAAGAGTGAATGGGTAAAGGATCAATATCCATATTCTTAGCCAATGTTCAAGCGAAGAAAGCAAGCAATTTATAAATAAAGGTTTTATTACAACATATATGTTTGAGCAAGGTGCTGTAATACTATAGGGATTTTAAATGTGTTCTGTGGGAATGATGACTGGGAAAATAAAAAGAAATTCTATTTAGTCCGTCAGTCTAATAAAAATATATCAGATACGTATTATTTTGCTTTAATTTAAAAAGAAACGACTTTGATAATAGGCATTAGAGTTGTGCAGTGGGGGCTCGCTACGTCACAACTATGTAGAAAATGTACAAAGGTGTGACATGATGCGACATTTCAAATTTGTTGATTAAGCCAAAAATACCCTTCAATATTCAACCTGACGGACAGACCTCTATTCCTTATTATTACAAAAATTATTCCTCTTATAAGAAGGACTGATATCTTACAGCTGCTAATCTCTCGTTAAAAAAAAGTTAATGGTTTTGTGCAGTATTCATACCAATATTGCATGAGCAGCATCGGACCTAACCAAAACATTCCAAAGATAATATTTCATCGACCGTCCTCGTTCTACATTCAATGCTGCATTGTTTAACAATGGTGTCATTTTCCCATTGAAAATTCTTCAAAATGACACTTAATTATCTTTATCACGAAACATTATGGAAATCACTTTCATAATAATGAATGAAATGGTGTCAATAGGGCTGGAGACAAGTTTTTTTAAATATTATTATTTTATAAATATGTTACGCTCAAAGATCGAAATTACTCATTGAGCGAAAAAATAGTTGACAACGCGTTGTGGTCACAGTAAAATATACATATAGCGAAAATTGTGTTATGGCTCTAATGGAACTCCGTGTCGTGACACGCTATTCGACCTCAACGCGTTGTGGCAATGAAGAAAAGCCACGACGCGTTCTGAGAATTCATTGTTGTAACTAGCGGTTTTTTTTTTACAATAGCGATTCGCTTCTGGCAAATTATTTGTTATGTTTAAGGCAAAAGCAATTTCAGTACCGTTTTCCGGAAGCGCAATATTAAGATCTTGTTGTCTACGGGACCCAAAATAAAAAACGGTGCCTTAATTTGGATTCGTCGTGTTATTGTTCCCTTAGCTTACTAAAGTCTGCTCAGATTTAATTTTTGTAGGCGAATATAAGATAGTATCGTAATACATATATTGTCTATATACTATGGGAAAGACAAAAAGAAAATATCATCCTCATGTACGGGAGGTACCTTAAAAATGTAATTTTTCGATATCTTACTTTATCACTTTGTCGGCGTAATTAATGTGTATACTGATATATACTTTTTTACTAAGTACTATAGTCAAAACAAGGAGCCTTGCATGATTGATGTCACATTATGTCATTCTAAATAAATAAATGAAATGCTGTGAATACATATAATTTTTAATTAAATATAGAAATATAACAAATTGGCGACGAGATGTGGGAAAATATAAAAAAACTAAAGAAAGTACGCGCTTCTTTACGAGGATTACTAACAAGAAGTGAAAATTATGTAAGTCAATTGGAAAATTTGCCTAGTGAAGAAATCGATCCTAGGTTGAATTCCTTACAAGATCTATTACTAAAGTTACAAAATTTGCAAAAAGATATAGAATAAGAAATAGATGATACCAATTTAGACGACGAAATACAATACAGATTTGATTTTGAAGAGACTTACATTAAAATTAGAACAAAATATTTGACATTACGTAATTCAAATGAAATTCAAACTGCTATACCGAGGAGATGTACTTCACCAACGGTTGATACTAACCATGCAGACAAATCTCCCAAACTAAATTTTCAACCGTTCCAAGAAAAAGAAACATTCCAAAATTTTAAAAAACGACTAAATATATTTTTTTCTTATGAACGGAATCACTAATACGAATATGAAAGTGTACACACTTCTATCTACATTAACTCCAGAATTACATGAAAAGCTCTGTGATTTATGCTCGCCAGAGGAACCTATAAATAAAGATTACGAAACTCTTACACAACTACTAGACGAATTTATAGACCCAAAACCTAGCACGTGGTTATTGCAACAAAATGAGCCCAGCAAAACGCTAACCCATCACTGGGAAGAAGTAACTACACCATGGGAAAGAATTCATATTGATTTCGCAGGTCCAACTCAAGGTACTTATTTATTGATTCTAGTAGACGCTTACAGTAAATGGGTGGAGATAATACCGACAAAGACTATTACAAGTACCTGGTGTATATCTAAATTGAAAGAGATCTTCTGCACATTCGGCATCCCCAACATACTGGTATCAGATAATGGCAGGCAATTTGTGTCCCAAGTATTCAAAAACTTCCTATCGGAACAAGGCATTGTACACAGAACATCAGCACCATACCACCCAGCCACGAATGGACAAGCAGAACGGTATGTCCAAACAGTCAAAAAGTCATTGTGTAGTATGGCGGGGGAGGGTGGTGACCTAACTGAAAGGTTACTTCAGATCAAATATTGTCTCCGGCGCACTCCTATTAGAGAAGATCAGTCACCATATCAGTTGATGTTTGGAAGAGTTATTCGTACAAAATTACAGGCGATGGTTCATAAGCCGAAGCACAATCAGGGTCCAAATGCAAGTAGAATCAGGGCTACTAGATGTTTTTCCCAAAATGACAGAGTGCAGGCACGTAACTATAGTGGTTCTAGCAAATGGGAATTCGGTAAAATATCCCGTCGGACTGGCCAGCTACATTACGAAGTGCTGACAGACTCCGGCGAAACGTGGCGTCGCCATATAGACCAGCTGCTGCCGGCACCTCTGGTGCGGTGAATTCAATGGCGGCCGAGGACTGATATATACTTTTTTACTAAGTACTATAGACAAAACAAGGAGCCTTGCATGATTGATGTCACATTATGTCATTCTAAATAAATAAATGAAATGCTGTGAATACATATAATTTTTAATTAAATATAGAAATATAACATATACTAATGCCAAATCATAACTTTCTAGTACCAATAATTTTTGAGCTAACCCGCTGACGTACGGGCATGGCGAAACTATAAGAGTTTCTTGTTTACTACGGAAGTCTAAAAAACACCTCTCGCTGAGTTTCTTGCCGGTTCTTCTCGGTACAAGGTCTCCTGCCGTAGATTTACGAACCGATGGCATAGAGTTTCGACTTTCACAAGTGCTTGTAACAGCCTACACTGAATAAAGGATTTTGATTTGATATGAATCAACCTTTCCTATTTTGTTAGTCTAGTCCTCTTGTTTTACAGCAACAGAATCCGAAAGGAGACATCCCCGAGCGGAGCTTCTACGTGATTTGCTGCATGGTTTTCGTCTGAACCGCGTTCGACCACAAACAACGCCCAAGACTGATTACGCCGATCCCATGCAGAGGAATATAGACAATGACGTCACCACCACCACGAAAAGCAGTTGGTACGACCGGTGGTTCGGGTAGCATACTGAATGTTATACGTAATATAACGGAACGTACGTTAACGTACATATGCAATGGATGATAACTGTGATATGTAATATTATTATACAGTATTTAAGCTGTGTGTATGTGTTTTGAGTGTGTGGTGTTTAAAATTCTGTTACCTCACTAATTTCCTTTATCCTTTAATGAAGAAGTATTTAAGAAAAACGAATGCACTAAAAGCACCTCCTCTAGATGGCGATTTGAAAAGTTCGAAACTTAGATATAAATACAAATACAAAAAAGTACAAATAGAATATGAGTTGCTTATTGAGTTATTGAGTTTTAAAAACTAATTTACTTTTAAACATAAAAAAAAACGGAAGGGTTGTCATGGAGGAATCAAGAACGTACCGTAGCGACATCTAGTTTGATTTCGGGAACAATGTTTTTAAAAAATACTTCCTCATTGGTATCAATTTAATAATATGCACCACAACTACAAGAAAAAAATTGTATAGATTATAAATATATTGTAAAGAATAAATTATTTTAAAACAACTGGCTCCTCTCTTTGATTTTTCAGTGTTAATAATAAACAGGGTTTAGAGTCATAGTAAATTTACACAAAGACTGCATTTATAGTCTAACAGAGCTATTAAAAAAAAAAAAAATTATCGTCGGAGTAAATTTACGCTATAACTTAAATTTTAGTATTACTTCAAATTCATAGTATACAGAGAATAAGCAAACCTACTACGAGTAATTATGACTCCCGTAGAACCTCGTACTAGGTTAACCTTTGTTGAGTCCTTGTTAGTGATCTGTATATTTTTGATTAATACTGAGTGCATTCTCAGTGTAAATTTATTCCAACTCTAAACTTTGTTTATAAATAACACTGTAAGAGATTGATTGATATTTCAGTAGTACTAAGGGTAAACATCACTCGGAACCTAGTGCGAATTTCAGGTGCTGGAACACTTGGTGGCAAGTCAAGTCAAGTCAAGTCAAAATAATCTTTATTAAAATAGACTTCTTAAAAGTACTTTTGAATCGTCCAACATTTTTCTCCCTACCACTTGTTCAGGACGTCTTTTGGCTGATAAGAAGAACAAGCAAAATGGCGGCGGCGCGAGTCAAATATCTAACGATGTTTTTATGTTTGTTCCATTATGTTTAGTTAGTACTTCAACATACTGAAATATCAAGTTTAGAAAGTTCTTGCACATTTTTGTTACGAGTTCTCAGTCTATTATATGCATACTTCAATCTAAGCAAGGGCAAGCTGGTCAATTGCCCAGGACGGTAAAAACTAGGGCAGCGAAATTGGGAGCTGTACATAAATGTCCCTTTTAATGCATACATGTATAGAAACTCCAATAGCCTAACGTAGGTATGTGAAAATCATACAATTTCAATAATATCACATATTTACCATAGAATAGCAACTTTATGATTTTATGTTTGGTGTAAAAGGTCAGCGAATTTTAGTTCAGCCTAGAGTGACAATATAACAGGATCGGGCTCTGGTACTTAGGATTACCGTGGACTGATATACATATAGTCTTTGATATTGACTGTTGTATTAGCAAAGAAAATATACATTAGTCAAAATATTAAATAGAGAATAAGCAAAGTTTAAACTGATAATTAACATTAACGATTTCCGTAGCCGAGTGGTTCGCACGCCGGTTTCAAGGTGTCGCCATCTCTGAGGTCCCGGGTTCAATCCCCGGTCGGGTCAATGTAGAAAATGAACTTTTTATATTGTGTCGGGTCTGGGTGTTGTGTTACTTTCGTTTTCTCAGATTCTCCACAATACGGGGGCTTTAACTACTCAACTTAGAATCTGAACAATGTATGTGATATTGTATAATATTTATTTTTTTATTTAATTTATTATAAATAATTTAATATTATAATTATTAATATTGTTTAATCTAAATATGCGTTTAATATATATTAACATAATAAAGGTGAAAAGTTTGTTTGTTTGTTTGGTTGAATGCGCTAATCTCAGGGTCTACTGGTTAGAATAGTTTTTAGTGTTGAATAGTTCATTTATTGAGGAAGGTCATAGGCTATTATAACCATAGAGTGGAGCAGCAATAAAACTTTTGAAAAAAAATGGAAATATCACGAGGGCGTAGCCGCTGGCTGATATTATAGTATGTAATATTTACTCCTAGAAGGTTTGCTCAGTCAATGTTTAATTACATGAGTTTGTGAACTTTATTTAATAAGAATATTGTTAATGTATGTATGTGTAATTATCGTAAAAAAATATTGTACAACCGTCCATTAGGATTTAAAGACGACTTTAAGCTCTAATGAATGTTCTGAATTTGATAACCTGTATCTGTAATGTCGCTTTAAAATAATGGCAATTTTAAGGGAGGTTTGTTTAGGTATTTTATCTATTTAAACTTCTTTATACAAATAAAGCGTACAAATGGCGCCCATGCAAAGAGTTCTTAATATATATAAGAACAGATATGTTAATAACTCTTTGCTTCTCTATGAAGAAATTTTCTAAACATTTATTATTAGGTCTATTAAAAAATAAAACCTTTAACGAGCTTTTTGTTCTGTTAGTTCTTTATTATTGAAAATATTCTGCTGGTGGTTCTTTGTTTAACTATCGTTCTCATGAAAATTAATAGACATAGACCCTGATATAAGTACTGAATATTATTAAGGCACGTACTGCTAGATAACATTATGTATATAGCTTTAAAAACAATTGGAAAGCTTTTAGCATTAACGAATCTAGATAAAAGGTTTTATTTAATATGTTATATCGTCGTCGTAGCGTACCGTTTTTATTGAACTCATTTAAGTGAATAAGCACATCGTTTGTGTGGCCTTAATAACATGTTTAAGAAGAATAAAAATACATTAAAAAAGATAGCGTTATTTGATAGATTTATATCCTTTGGAAGGGGAAGTGGAATTCATGGATTACAACATATTTTTCGAGAAGATTCTATGATAACAGCAAGGTTAGCAACTCTTAATTTTCTCTAGTTTATTTTTTAATTAAAAGGGGCAGGTCATAATGCCGATAGTTTGATGGAAGGTGGGGTAGAAAAGTTCTCGAATGGAGGTAAGAACTGCCCTGCGATTCCGTTAAAACCAAACCCGAATTAATAAGGTATAAGTGAAGTGAGTTTCGAAATGACATAGGAATAGAATATCTGAGACACGTATATTCAATCAATTATGTTTTGTATTTTTATCCGACTGCGCGACGCAAAGGAGGGTAATGTGTTTATCAGTCTATGTATGTATGTATGTATGTTTGTTTCTATGTGGCGTTCTAGAGACCAAATGCGTAGGCCGATTTGTATAATTCTTATGTCAATCGATTCGTCTTTACCTTGCAAGTGTCACTAAAGACATGACAGTAATCAAAATTCACCACAGCGACAACAAGACGCCATATTGTCAAAATGAAAAAAAAATCGATGATTTATGTCAAGTGGGGTGTCGGTGAATAGGTATTTTAAAATCATCTTTAGTTTCTTTTTATCATTTTTCATTTTAAATAATAGTTTGGGATATATAACGATTTAAAGTTGTTTAACAAACGATATTAACTCCCTCAATGAAATGACTAGTTTGTTTTTCTTGTTTTTTAGGGCTAATTTTAATTCTATAAAATGCAGCTTAGATTCAATCGATTGGGACACTACTTTTCAGAGCTGTATTGATGATGATGATGCTATGGTGCTGGTTTTCTACAACATTTTAACTGATTTAATTAAATTACATGTGCCAGTAAGCCTCCAGATAAATAGAGAAAAATTTCCTCCGTGGTACTCGCGACCTCTTATTAAATTAAGTAATGAGAAAAGAAAATATCATAGGAAATGGAAGGCCTACGGTAATCAAGCTGACTACAATACGTTTTCATTACTACGATCTCGCGTCCGCAAATTGGAAGCAGATACCTATAATAAATATAAAGCATTTTCAGAGAATAATATTAAAAATGATCCAAATTCGTTCTGGTCATTTGTCAAATCAAAAAATAAAACCGACGAAATTCCACATAATATGATTTTTATTGGAAGAAATTTGACTACAGGCGAAGAGATTTGTGCAGCTTTTAATAAATTCTTTCAATCCGTTTTTGAAAAAACTAACGTAGATATTGATAGTAGCATAAATTCAGCTCGTAAATGTGATGAAAAATTTTCTATAATTGATTTCGGAAAAGTACAACTAGATGAAAAAGTGATACTTAAACACTTAAAAAATGTAAACATTCATAAGGGAGCTGGATCTGATGAGATACACCCTTTATTAATAACTCAGTGTGCAAACCAATTATTAAAACCAATTTGTAAAATATTTCAACAGTCCTTGAATTCTGGTATTTTCCCTAGTGCTTGGAAGAAAGCCCTCATTACGCCTATTCCCAAAAACAAGCAAAAAGATTTAATAACGCAGTATCGACCCATCTCAAAACTATATGTTCTTGGTAAATTATTCGAGAAAATAGTATCAGATCAACTGTCCTCCATTCTTAAGTCTCATATGTCTGATACGCAACATGGATTTATGAAAAGACGCAGTGTCGAGACCAATATGGTCACATTCACTGATATTGTCCTTAAAGCTATGGATGAAAACAAGCAAGTTGATGTCGTATACACCGATTTCTCTAAAGCGTTTGATAAAATTAGCCATTATTTACTTATAAAAAAGCTTTCAAGAATCGGTGTGAATGGCAATTTACTACGATGGTTTGAGTCTTATATTCGTAACCGTAGTCAGGCTGTTTGCATTAAGGGTTACTGTTCGAGTTTTTTGCCGTTATCATCTGGAGTATCTCAAGGATCACACCTTGGACCTGTAATATTCGCAATTTATATAAACGATATTAGTGATTCGTTACCAAACAGTTACCATCTTCAGTACGCAGACGATACAAAAATATTTAGAGTCATTTCTAATATGGATGACTGCTACAGCCTTCAAGCTGACTTAAACACATTAAATAAATACTGTACAGAAAACCAACTATTTGT